GAAAGAACCGACAGAAAAGAAGGCACCCAGAGAAAGAGAAAGTGAGAAAAAACGGGGGGGGAAGCCCGCGTCAACCGACAAGGGTTGGGTAACGTTGCGACCTCATCCTACTCTCGGTACAATTGGGGTGTGTTTTAGGGCCGGTTATTGTTCCAGGTGCAAGCCTAAAGATTCGTACAACAGCAGCAATACAGAAAGCAGCATACCGGCCACGGAAAAGGCTACCCTTGGCGGCATCTCGCATTTCACCTGTTTGCTAGCCCTCACTCTTGCCGTTTTGGTAATTTTCTACCGTCCGTTTGCACGAATCCGAGACTACGTCGTATGATGACATGTTGCTCCAGCCCTCGCCCTTCTCTCNGTCGACATTGCTTCGCAGGTTGCTGGGCGCCCGCGTCCCAAATAGTTGATGGGATTCAGAGAGGGCGAGCCCAAACAACATTCCGGCAGCAACGCAAGTAGGGCCTTACGAGACCTCCCAGCACTTAAACCCGTTTGATCTTCCCCTTACGAATTACCCAATTCTCCGCCGCTGCCGTTCTGAACAGATGGTGGCCATGGACGCTGGCCACCTCAAGGGTTCGTGGAAGGGAGTCATGTACGTCCTCTGCATGCATGACAGCAACAACAAGATCATCCACGTCAGCACTGTACTCGCAGACAAGGAGAACGCGACGAACTACAAGTTCCTGCTCCAGCAGACCTGCCGGAACGAGCACATGCATCGACTTCTTTCGTCCGGCGAGGTGACGTTCTTCATCGACGGTCACAAAGGATCACCGGCGGCCCTCAGGGCGGTTGTACCGCAAGCGCCATGGCGTGCGTGCGTGAGGCACCTCATCACCAACAAAAACATGAAGGCAATGGGACACGTGAGTAGAATTTGGGGAATAGTGACGTTTGTTGTTGGGGTTTTCCAAATGAAATGATCAAGAGTTTCGCTGCATGTCGTCGCGCATAGCAACCTTTATTAATATGTGTAGAGTATCGGACAGCCAATAGAACATTTCCCTGCTGGTGGAGTCCAGGTGCACAAGATGAGGCACTGGCCCAACTTGAACCCTTGACCATCACCCCCCCAGAGAGCCGGAAAGTTCTTTGCTACAATATTGCCTCGTCGTTGGAATTTCAGCCCCTTTCTCGCAAACCGCATGTACCGTATATTGGGGGACACGTCGTGTGCTATTTGCGACGACGCTTCACGCGTAGTTTGAGCGGATCACGTGTTAGGGCGTGATGGATGGTGCAGTCTTATGAACTGCAGCTTTTTTGCATCGCGCGAAGGGACCCAAAACTGTATGTACGACTCTCGGGCCGCCTCCGCGCCCCCCCAAAAAAACGCTCATGACTTGCTGTGCTAGAAAAAGTTCCCGCCCATTTTTTTGCACCCTTGTAGGAGAAGGTAACTCATCTTGCGTGCGTGGGAGTATGGATGTGTGACGGTTGTTGAGCCACAGATGTTGCGTTGTGAGTAATGGACCTCCTGTCAAACAAATATTGCAAGAACGCCTCCCCAGCACTTGTTTTTCTGTGCCCGTTCCATTTTTCTGGCGCCAGCAGACACACCTCTCGGTGAAGATACATGTTCAGCTCATCAGCCAGGGTCACACACAACTCTTCTTTGCCCCTTTCGTTATTGTTTCTCCTCACCAATATTCCCTGTTTCGGGCTGCAACGCAGGCCTATTCAGTGGCGGTTTACCGAGCGGCGGTGGTGCCTACCAAGGCCCTGTTTGAGGAGGCAATTGAGCCAGTCCAGAAGGACTTCCCGGCCAACTACAACCTCCTCATGAAAAACGACCTTGACAAATGGACACACCATGCTACCCCCAGCAACCTGGTCAACCTGAAGATGTCCACCTCCAACTCTGCGGAGTCCACCATTTCCGCGGTCGGCCACCAGGTTGGTGAACGAAAGGGGTGGATATGTTGAAAAGCCTTTTGCAGGTCCGAATTGACGCACTATACCCTTCAAGAGGANGCGACGACGCTTCACGCGTAGTTTGAGCGGATCACGTGTTAGGGCGTGATGGATGGTGCAGTCTTATGAACTGCAGCTTCTTCGCATCGCGCAAAGGGACCAAAAACTGTATGTACGACTCTCGGGCCGCCTCCGCGCCCCCCCCAAAAAACGCTCATGACTTGCTGTGCTAGAAAAAGTTCCCGCCCATTTTTTTGCACCCTTGTAGGAGAAGGTAACTCATCTTGCGTGCGTGGGAGTATGGATGTGTGACGGTTGTTGAGCCACAGATGTTGCGTTGTGAGTAATGGACCTCCTGTCAAACAAATATTGCAAGAACGCCTCCCCAGCACTTGTTTTTCTGTGCCCGTTCCATTTTTCTGGCGCCAGCAGACACACCTCTCGGTGAAGATACATGTTCAGCTCATCAGCCAGGGTCACACACAACTCTTCTTTGCCCCTTTCGTTATTGTTTCTCCTCACCAATTTTCCCTGTTTCGGGCTGCAACGCAGGCCTATTCAGTGGCGGTTTACCGAGCGGCGGTGATGCCTACCAAGGTCCTGTTTGAGGAGGCAATTGAGCCAGTCAAGAAGGACTTCCCGGCCAACTACAACCTCCTCATGAAAAACGACCTTGACAAATGGACACACCATGCTACCCCCAGCAACCTGGTCAACCTGAAGATGTCCACCTCCAACTCTGCGGAGTCCACCATTTCCGCGGTCGGCCACCAGGTTGGTGAACGAAAAGGGTGGATATGTTTAAAAGCCTTTTGCAGGTCCGAATTGAAGCACTATACCCTTCAAGAGGAGCGTTTCTCGCTGGATCTCATAGATGGTGCGTCAGGATGTCCTCTCACTCAGCGTCAAGCGGCAGATGTCGGTTCCCGTGTGGGCGTACACAGGAGCCAGCGTTTTGTGAAGCCCCCGACAGCCGACTACTGTAGTTCCGAGTGTTCTCTGTTGACATTCCATCGCTTCTTCTCATTTATGCATGTTATCTTGTGTCGTGAATGTTGGTGGTAATCGAAGTGGTTTTTCGCAGGTGCTTTTTCTTCAATGGGTCGATCCAACGTGAAAGAACCCAAGATGAAGCGACTATGTACCATCCCTCACTACTATACATCCGCATAAAAAATACTTGGTGGATGGGTGCATTTCTGTTTCCCATCCGGAGAGTATCGTAGCCCCTCCCTTGTCACCCGTTGGTCAGCGTGTCAGCAGGGTCCATGCTAAACGTGAGGACACATGTACATTCTCACCCAATTTTATTATTGTTAGGAATCCTGCAGTCCCGATTCTTCAACGGCCACTTGTTCGGGTGTTGTGATTTCCTTCTCTACACACCAGTGTGTGCGGCCACAAGCTTTTTATGGTGTTCCTTTTGAACTCGTCAGCGTCTAAATCGTTGATGTGTCCCTTTTCCGTTGTTGACGTGTGTTGCTCGCAGAAACGGGAAATGGACCCTTATCATTTCCACATCGAGATTGCGGAGAAAACTGCGGAGCAACTCGCAACGAATGCCGAACTACTGAAAGACTGCCATGNGTGTTGCTCGCAGAAACGGGAAATGGACCCTTATCATTTCCACATCGAGATTGCGGAGAAAACTGCGGAGCAACTCGCAACGAACGGCGAACTACTGAAAGACTGCCATGCCATCCTCGTTCCAATCGCGGCCAAGTTCATGGAGGACAAGAGGTTGCTCAGTCTTAAGCAAGTACCGGGGCAACCACGCCTGGTGCGTTCCTTGTTCTTTCCTCCGTTTATTCTACGGCTGCGTGATCGGTGGGGTGTAGTACGACCCCGTCGGTTGGGTGATCCACCCGTGCTGTCTCTC